CCCCCCCCCCCACTCGATTCCACACGGATATCAGTGATGGTAAGATGTGCTTCGCTGTTGGAAGTGGACACCATCTTTGATCGATAAGCCTGTTTAATGATATCCACATATTCAATTTTGCGGAAAATTTCCGTGAACACCAGCTCACTTGTTTAGTCGGACGAATAAAATTTAGTATATTCATAGATTAGCCCGTCCCCATGATATAGTTCGGAAGGACAAGAAGCGTGTTCGCCGGACGCTCCCGTAAGATGGTTGGAGGCTCAGCAGTGCCACGCTAGAGGATAGAAGACAGGAAATGTATTGCAATTGAAAAAAGGATTGATTGCATGGAAGCTACATGTTGTAATAACCAATGGAGTCAAAATTGCAATATTCAACTGCAGCACTGATCTGCATATGTTGATGCTATCCTCGCTGATCAGCGTGTACCTCTCTAATGGCCTTGGCTACAAGCTTTACATCCGAGGACAATCGGTTCCTGTTGAGGTACAATGATCGCTCGGAAATGGCGGGAGTCAATCACGATCTTCAGTCCGTGATGACAAACTTGGCAGAGCTTGACAATCTCTCAACGGCCAATGTTGTCCCTTCAAGAAGTGCGAGTCCTCATATGATGTTGTCTGCATCATTCTCAATCGTTTGCGTTATTGTAGTTCCTGATATTAGTAGTTATAGTCTTGAAATAATACGCCGAGGCTTCGGTGCTTGTCGAACCTCTACGTTGAGCGAGGTGAGCTTGTAGCAATGTTGAAGTGAAGTATTGCAATTTTGAATTGCAGTGCCTAATTTCATGATCCCCACGGATTGCAATACTCAATCGCACTCGAAAAGCTAACTGCACTGTCAACTGCACCTGGGGTTGGAAAATAAAATATATAATTGTATTGGTTTTTAGAAAAAAAGTAATCCGTCATTCCCGTATCAACCAAAACAATAATAAGTACTGCAATTATTGTTTGCAATTAGTAGGGTTAGAGCGGTTTAGTGGTTTGGGAATGACCCTACCAATCCACCGCACAGGGTTCGAGTCCCACACCTGTACGAGAAGCTGGTTGTTGTCACCGGGACTTTTGTCCTGGAATAGGGGTAATCTAACAAACAAAAAATGAGCCGGCGACGGCAAGACAGTCCACCAGCGGATATGAGTTTTACGCGTAAAAGTTAATAACCTCTTATTTTTTATATAGAGCAATTCTATAGAGAATGAGAGGTTTCATAACTATATCTACTCTGCAACTTCCTCGTCGTCATCGGCCGATTCATTGTATCCTACCAGAGAGGTGAAGTCCCAGTGCTCGCGGTTGGCACGTAGAAACACCAACATCTCAAAGTTTGCTGGCAGCATGCTGGAACGCAAAGGGTTGAACACCAACTTGCACTGAGAGAAGAGGCGTTCGCACTTATTGCTGGTAGGTGGAATCATTCGCAGCAGGTCAATGTACTTGGTCACAGTTGCCAAGCGAGGTCGCTTTGCATGACGCAGAGTTTCCGTCGCAAAGTCCACCTTCTTTGGCGTTTCTTGCGCGGAGTCAGTTGGACCAGCAAATTGGGCAACCGCCTCTTCTTCGTCTGAGATCAGCGATCGATCCGATAGCAACTTGACAACGGCACTTTCAAACGCGGGAGAGTGAACGATTTGAGCCGATTGACTAAGGTGGTGTGCTGTCGCTGGAAACTTCGCAATAACCGCGTCGAAGAGGAATCGCACGTCAGCAAGATTGCCTTCCTCGGACTGTAGCCTGACACAGACACTGTCTAACGCTTCGAGCTTAGTTACCAGCTGCACAATCTGGCGGTGAGTACGAGGCCGCGGAAGAAGGTCCTCTACAGCAGCAACCATTTTGATGGCATGGCGGATCTTGACGTAGCGGGCCAGCATATGGTACGTCGACGACCAGCGTGTAGCATTCGCCTTCAGCGGCTTGTACTTCGTGAATTGGGCAAGCTTCGCCGCGTTATTGGTATACCGCAGCTGAATGCACAGTGTCTGTACTTGATCGATCTGCGACTTTAAGTCTTCAAGGTATCTGCAGACGGCGAGGTTGAAACGATGGCTGGCACACCCGACGAGAGCCACGCCCATTCGAGTAGCTACGGCTTGGTTTGTAGAGCAGTTGTCAGCGACCAGGAACAGGATCATGCTTGGCTCCTTCTTGTACAGGTGCAGTACCGCATCAATCATACCGATGTGAGCATCCGTTCTCGGCGGGGGACATCGCAAGCAAGACTTCGTGGAGGGCTCATTCCTTCGTGAACACGGCGTAGATGGCGATGAAGTGGTAAATACCTGAAGTCCACCCGTCAAACATGAGGCCGAACTGGTTTCCCATATCCGTCGAAATGCGCGACCCCATTTTGCTTGCAACGTGACGCATGTACTTTACCAAGGTCTTCGACGACACCGGCTTGATGGCAGCTAACGCGCGCGTCATCGGGTCATCCACCTCACTCGGTGCCATGTTCATAACCCACTCCATCCACATGAAAATCTCCATCGTCCGCTGATCAGCAAACCCGTGTGCTTCGAGCGACTGGCCAAACGACCGCTGACTCTCCTCGTACGTCTCCCTGAACCCTGGGTGGTTCGTTGCCAGATGACTCATGAGGTTGGTGTAGCCCGTCCCTGGCGACTGCTTTCGAGCTCTGCCGCACTGCTTGCAGGAAAACTGGCCGTTGCCACAGTCCGTGAAGAAGAAGTTGGTGATGGTGCGTGAAGTCGACATGGCAGTTGGAAAAAGAGAAAATGAATGACAGCACAGCGTTTTTCAACGCCTTCGTCTAGATCACACCAACCAGTCGTTCGAAGCGAGCGCTGATCCGCCAATGATTTCTCTACTTGTGTTTTTACGTATAGTAAAAACTCAATATAGTTATTACGGGGCCAATTGTATATTGGACGGAAATCTCTTTTTACCAATAATCCGTAATTCCGTCAATACAATTGCGCAATTATTATATTATAATAACTTTTTCCGACCCCTGAACTGCACTAGGAAGAATTGGATGCATTTTTTTTTCACCTTGCCTGGTAGACGCTATTTTGAGTTTTCACGGTTGGTTAACGTCTCCTGGCGTAACCGCCAAGGGACATCCAATAGTGTACTATTGTCTAGAATACATTTATGCTCTTACACGATATCCAGGAGGTGCAGCTACGCAGTCAATCACTGCAGTAATCGGTAATGGCTGACACCACCGAAGGAAGTGAAGGCGATGGAGCTCGCACAGCTCCGCGTGGGCGTGTACGGGTCAAGCGAAGCAACCGGACACTACCGTGTCTGGCACGCTCTTCTCGAAGGTGGATTCCACGGCTCACACAGACAATTTCAGATCAAGTAGCAACTACACGCAGCCAAACTTCTCTCCCGAAGGCGATGAAGTTTGGCCATTAAAGGTAACCGAACACCAAATGGAATCGTCCATCCGGTCACAATTAAGCCCCGTTCCGTCGCCCAATCTCAACACGACGTAGAGCTCCGACGCACCATCCAACTACTAGACACAGTTCGACGCCGTTGCGCCATCCGTCCCTGAATGTACCCCGCCCGCGCAGAGATCGCTTCGGCCAGTAAATGCGACAATAAGTACGAGTGTTGACCGTGCTCCAAGGGAAGCTTCCCCCATGCTCCAGCGTGTATCCCATCCTGGTCGCACGCCACCTACACGCGGATCACTCCAGTTAGCCCAACAATCACCCGGTCATGAAGACAATAACAAGTCAGCCGAAGCAGACATACCCAACACGAGCTCTCATCATGATCAGGTAATCATTCGACCAAAGTGCCATTAGCCAGCGGGATACGTCTGGCGAGACACTGGACGATGTTGTGTTCAATGGGTCGTCGTTCACTGATATTCTCAAGAAGGTTCGGGATCTGTTGTGCTCTCGAATAAAGGGCTGGCCAGTAAAGCGTGAGGACGAGTGGTCGCCATACAAGCAAGATTGGAGCAAAATCATGTAGTTTAAATCCAAGCGACGCATTGTGGACAGCACAAAATCGGAGTAGGTCTGGAATTCATGGCTTCATTCTGTTCGAGGCCAGGATATAAAGCTACTTCTGTATGAATATGGTGTTGTTATCACTACACTGTCTGCCCTTGCCGAATTCAAACGGGCTTGCATTATTCCGCTGGCAACGGTGTCGGGTGGCCAAAGTCAATCCCGTGCCCGGAATAGCGAAGACGAAGAACACTTGCTAAGTAAGAAGTAAAAGCAACACTGTTTAATGAGTTAGCCTTGTCCTATGCCAAGTCCTGTGGTTCTTTTGTATTCTCAGCCTCTCATTGCGAACTGGCTTCATCCAAGCGATTTTAGACCAATACCGAATCCCCCCTACTCGAGACCAAGTAATCCTTGGCAAGATCGATACTGCGCGGTGCGATCGGTTTGTACAGCTGTATTGTGAGCTACTCAGCAAGGAAATTTCTTGACACGCTACATCACAGTATTACACGTACCCACCACCTGCACGAGCTTCACGTGTGTTAACTCCCCGTCGGCAAGAACCCCACGTGCGCTCCGGCGCAAATAATACGTGTTCAATTGACAACGCCAGCGAGAAATTCAGGTACTCCAATCCCCACTCGAACACCAGCTCCAGAGCAAACGAATCTGCTCTGCCAGCAGCGAGAACCTTGCATAAACACATCCCAACGTAAGTATTACGTTCTCACAATCTAGTACCTTCGAGGTATCCACTTACATGAACCAGTGCGAGTCCCAAGTGTGCAGCAGAGATTTCTTTTGCTGAGTCAAAGAGAGCTTGTCCGTACTAGGGTGTCTATCGCAATTGGTCAGATATCGAACGGAAATAGCGTTTTTGACCAGTTATAAGAGTCTGTCGATCCCTTGGCTATTTTGTGCCAGCTCCCCAATAGCCGCGATAGGGAAAATTTGGACAAAAGCACCATATTTGGTGCGAAAAGCCTACCCTACATTTGATGGACATTTGGTGCCTCCAGCGGCGGAGCTGATCAAACTACCCATTTATCCTTGAAGGGGTCAGCTTTGTCCCACCGTGAAATAAAAGTTTGTTTAGATTCTGTAACTAAAACAATATGAGGAATAGTTTAGGAAATCTTTTCTGCCAGACACAATATAAAAACGTTCTATGCGTATCATTCATAGAGCGAAGAAATGTGATGTCTTCAATGTTGCTAGTGAATGCGGCTACTGACATGTTGGCGGACCCTATCATCATTATGACATCTGGAAGAGCTGTTTTGACGTGTTATTTTGGGCCTTCGTCAATTACTCGTACATCAACACCAGAATCGATAGATCGATTAGCTTCGGGAAACACGGATTTCCCAAGACAAATTCTGACATCCACACCCCTAAGTTTTGCGACAACGAGCTCCTTTGAAATAAGTTTGTTGCTGACTTCATACCACAGTGCCCACAGGCGGTTGTTCGTCCAGCCGATTTGAGTACATACTTTCGTTTATGCGTCTCAACTTTCGTTGTCGGTCGCACGAAGTACATTTATTTCCACTAGGCACTTCGTAAGTACAAAATTAGAGAGTTCATAACCCTAATCCAGGTCATCGTTTGTCATCATCATAAAGTTGCAGCGGTATGTGCTCGCTCTCGAACGCAACGTCCTGCCATCTTGAGCATCGAAGGATTTATTACAGGTCAGGAACAATTTTGGTCACGTCGAAAATGATCACATTGGTCACAGGTTGCATATGCTTGGTTACGTACGAAGGGCGTGACCAATTATTGTTGATCATGTTCAATTTAAAGACGGCGGCAAGGGGTTATTGCTTCAAGTGGTTTCACGCTCTAGTTAGCAATACTTCACACTCTAAATACTGCACAAGCTTTCAGCGACGCTTCACTCTGCAACAGCGTCTCTTAGAGCAACTACTACCTCTACTACGTACTACTGTCTCAACTGCCAGTAATATGGCGCGGTCGAAACGCCGCGGAAGCCGGCGCCGGTATGCACAGACGCCTCGACCTTCAACACGTCTACCTGACGCTCAGCCTGGTTTAAGTGATAACGAAGCCCACGATTCGCCCCTAGCTACCCCTACCCTGTTGTTCCAAACCAAATTCAGCTTCCGGATGACCAAGGAGCAGCGTTGAGCGCGGAGTTGTCTTCGTTAGCGGCTACGCCCAGCTCGGAGGCAGCAGCCCCAAGCTTTACTTCAGCTCTGAACGTCCCCGTCATGGAGTTGGGCACCGTCATGGACAGTGTGAGCAGCTCGGCTTCATTGCTACCTAATGTTCCACGCACACCAACCTTAGCCTCATCTACAGCAACGACAAGGCCGGGCTCGACCGAGCGAGAAGGTAGAACGAAGATATATTGTATGCGATACGAGTACACACGAGCAAACGCAACCGGTGTGAAGATCACCTACAGATGCAGCTATTATCGGAAGCCAAAGCAGAGCCCAACCCAACTGGCGTTTCATGCCGAGACTATGGCCTACGATTTTGCCAACATGATTCATCATACTTGCCGAAACGACTTTGCAAGTGGCCGCGCTGCAGCCGTAAGTGATGAATCTGTTTTCCTTGACCTGACAGATGCAATGAAGAGCTTCGTGGACGAACTAGTGGACACAACGGACGAGTCGCCAACCAAGATTTGGGATACCGAAAATTTAACGAGAACTCTATTGGCGTACATACCGAAAATTTTACAAGAACTCTATTGGCTTAATCCGTGGTCTTAATAAGAAGCAGATTATTACACGGACTAACAATGCCCGCGCAGCTCAGAACGGCAAGGACCTATTTTCTATGATCGAGTCGCCGAGCATGGCCAAAGTGAAGAACGCGGAGCTGGGTTTTCTCCAATTCAACTATTCGTGGCAAGATGACACCTAGATCAAGCAAGGAAAATCGGGGTTTGGTCGACTGATTGGGTGGGCCCACCCCGAACTACGGAATCTCCTTCGCTACGAAGGCGTACACTTGTTTGTTGACGGCACATTTCGTAGTGCACCGAAGGGATGCCACCAAGTTGTCACGTTAATGATGTACGACCCGCTGACTGAGTTATTTGCTCCGCTATTTTCCACGTTGACGACGACTAAAACCCAGGACTCCTACAAGAAATTATTTTACTGTGTCGAATTCGCAGTAGGAAAAAAGCCCAGCCCCAAAGATGTAACGTGTGACTTTGAAGTTGCCAACATTTGTGCTATCCGAGAATACTTCCCAAAGACATAGATCATTGAATGTTTGTTCCATTTTAAGCAGACATGCAGAAGGAAAATGAAGGCTTACCGGTTGCCTGACGCTGAAGCCGAAATTGCAATGGCCTTTGGGGTTCTAGACATGCTAACAGTGGTAAATCCAGATAAGATCAGCGTACAGGGGTGGCATGGGTCAAGGCCAAAATTAAACAACGCTGTGAAGTTAAAGGCGTGCCATACTCTCGTGAAAAATGGCGTCAGTTCTGACAATACTTCGAGAGGACATGGCTCGAGCAGTATCCTCCTGAGTTATTGAACATGTTCAATGTCGAGAGGGAAATAGTCAATCGAACTAATAACCCGCTCGAGCGATTTCATCGAGAGTTAAAAGCTCGTCTCAAGCGACAGCCATCGCTCAAACGGTTCGTCAAGACAATTGAGGAAATTGCACAGCACTATGTCATTCTCCGCAGAGGAATCATTTCCGGTGTTGCACAAGCACCAGCACGATCTACAATGCGGTTTCCAAGGACCGCAAAACTAGCGGAAATTGAAGATATTGAAGAATCAGACAGCGAAAACGAAGGCGCTGCTGAAGCTGACGCCGATAACAGCGAGTACATTGAGGCGGTGTTATCTTCTGACGAAGACCTGGAGCTGCTGTACGGCACCTCGCTCGAGTATGAGGAGGCGACTGACGACTAAAAAGACTCTTTATCATGCTAGACGCTCTCATTCGGCTGAATGCTGCTCCTCATGACATTTGCATACTGTCGGACCAAGTCGCTTAATACACTTCTACTTTCTTTTCCTTCTAAGATCGAAGATTGCATCAGTCTTCTTGGGTGCGTGAACATGATTGTTTGGTCACGTGACCTGATTGATTATTTTACCCGTGACCAAAATCGTTTCTGACCTGTTGTAATAAAGGCTATTGTTGAGTATGTGACCACAAGTTGTGTCGACAGTGCTTTCAATTCGTCTAGTGCAGTAATATAGTTCTCTGAAGTTTCATTCCCCAGCACCTCTCCCTGCACGGGCTCGCTTTTTTTTTCCTCTGCATCCGCAGTTTCTTCATCGTCAGCCGAAAAGTTGGGATTACCTGTGTCATCTAGACACGACACACTGCAATCGATGCAGTTTTCCTTTCCCGAGCCTGAATTTGATTCCAGGTCGTCTCAATTGTACATTGTCCTAAGTTTTGCCAGGAACTGCCACGAAGTTCATGAACGTTGTGGGCATCTCACACTTGCTTTACAACTGTCCATCGAACGTTACAAAGTCGAGATATTGCGCAGATATTAACGTTAGCGTTTCTATCGAAGCGAACCTCCTGCGCTGTTCTTATTATCTTTTCCTGGCTTCTTCACTCCATATAGATTCGCTTTTGGGTGCATCAACTTCAAAATCAGCCCGATATTTAGCGTCACCGCAAAAAAATCTCTGAGAATAAATGTTTTTATATTTCGGGTTATTTCAAATAAAACCCACAATTGTCCCACAACCAAATCAAAACGCACTGGTACCTCTTCGTGGCCATGCGTCGCCGCCGTCTACTGCAGCTGCCTCTTCGTCAGCGACTTCTCTGCTCCTCCCCCGCTCTGCATGCCCCCGCTACAGTCTCCACGCCTGATGCCGCTCGCTTCTATCGTGTTTCGTCCTCGGATGAGTCCTCCAAAGGCGGTCGTTCCAGCAACAATAAGTCGCTGAGTCAATTGGTGCTCGCTCTTCGCACCTTCCACTCATTGGAGCGGCACTTCGCCGTGCCCTTCGGCTTCGTAGTGCCTAAAAGCCATCACTGGCCAAAGGAGCTGCACCAGCTGCCGCTCGGAGTCAAGGTACATCGCTTTATGCAGTCACTGAGCAAGGGCTCAGCCTCTGCGCTGCAGACCAAGAAGCAGGGCGCGGAGCAGATGCAGGAGCTTAGAGACATGGGCTTCCCGTTGCATTCGTGGCAAGAATATCAGTTTCAAGAGGTCTGTCTCCCTGCCCTCAGGACTTACCAGGAGCAGTACGGAGACCTGTTTGTCCCTCAGAAATTTATAGTCCCCGAGGAGGAGGACGACGATGCCGAGCTCTGGCCTAGAGCCACGAGGGGCTACAAACTCGGACTGGCGGTGGCTAAACTCCGGAAGCAGGTGCAGCAGCAGAGACAGAGAGAGCAGCAACTCAAAGACAAGAAAAAGCAGAGCACTACGTCGTCGAGCGCGGTTTTACCCCCTCTACCCAAGAACCAGGTCGACGCACTCAATGAACTGGGATTCGTATGGAGAGTGCGAGACACCAAATGGTACCAGTTTTTCCTGCCTGGACTGCGGAAATATAAGGAACTACATGGAAATGCCGACGTTCCGCTGGCCTTTACGATCCCGAAACATGAGGAAGACCCGAGATGGCCTAAGACTTTAGAAGGATATATGCTGGGACGACACGTGTACATGGTAAGATCGGGAAAATACGCGACGCAGGTTCGGGATACTAGACAGGAGCTGGACGAGCTGGGTTTCTCGTTCCGACTGGTTGATAAGGTCTGGGGTGAGAGCATTTTCCCGGCTCTCGAGGTGTTCTCCGCTCAATACGGACACTGCGATGTGACGCAGGACTTTGTGGTTCCGTCGGGGGAGCCATGGCCGAAAGATTCTTGGGGGCTGAAGCTGGGAGATACAGTCAAGAATATCCGTCGAGGAGCGTACGATTCTCAGGTGCAGACAGCTCGTAAAGAGCTGGATGCTCTTGGCTTTGTGTGGAATGCACGTCACCGTGTGGAGAAGACTGTGCGCAGTGTGGTGATCCCAGCTCTGACCACGTATCGGAGACTGCACGGCAGTGACGCTCTTGTGACAACGGACTTCGTGGTACCTGATCGTGACCCGAACTGGCCAGTGCTTACGCGAGGCTTCAGACTTGGTCAGTGGATCACGCGCGTACGTTCAGGTCAGGTGGCGCTGTCGTCTAAGTTGCGTGCAGAGCTGGACAAGGTTGGCTTCGTGTGGCGCTCGAACGATCAGCGTTGGAACGAGGTGCTGCTGCCAGCTTTCCGAGCGTATGCCGAGCTGCACGGCGGTACGTGTGCGTCGATGAGCACCAAGTTTTCTGTGCCTCCTGAGGTGCCGTATCCTCGAGCTGCATGGGGTGTGAATCTAGGTGGCGCCTTGTGGCATATCCGCAATGGCGACTCGTACGTCAACTGCGAAGACAAACAGCGAGAGCTGCGTGCTCTCGGCATTCTGGCCGACGACGCTGTGGCATAAAAACTGGTGCTTCCCGATGTTGAAGCATCATGAAGTACTTATCAATTACTACATAGTAGAGAACTCCACCTTAGACACTCTCACGAACAATCACTCGTCGACTGCTCTGCTGGCAGTGAACTCGTGCTGCTGGAATACTTTGACCGTCTACTTCAAGGTGGAACGCAGGGTAGCGTAGTTGGCCTGTACGAGTTGCTAAGAGTCTTTTCTGGGTGCTGAACTCGCGTCTGCGATCGCTGTGGTGTCCGGAACAGGGATCCAACGTAAAGCGTTCGAGTTGTCTTCCTACGAGGATCCAGTCTCGCTCGCTGCTCTCGTTCAGACACAGTGATAATACACTCGAATCATCCGTCAACGCAACCTTGTTCGACATCGAAACCTCCTCTTGCACGTGGATCTGGAACGTCATCGGCTCACTCGCAGTAGCCTCAACCGTATCGTCAGAAAGCGTGTGTGTTGTGTCATGTCCTCTAGGCAACACGTCGATTCGGTAGCGTTTTCCTTCGACTTCTGCCAGTGACAACTGAATATTCACAGTTTTCAACCAGGCTTCGTCATATTTCAGCTCCAATTGAAGCGAGCAGGAGCTGTTACGTTCCTTCTCGAAATCTGGACTGCAAATTAGGGTGAATGCGAAGTGTACACAGTCGTTTGGACGCAGCTTTGTCCCTCGCAGCTTCATATTCGGATCCTCCTCCACGGTAACCAACGCACTCTGCACAGGAACGTCGGTGTCTTTGTGGGAAAATACCATTTTGTAGTCTTGGATCAGAACGGGGATGCATGGATTGCATGTCAGAGCGATGGAGGCGAAGATCCGTGCTCCAACGCGTTTAAGTCGCACCATCTCTGTCAATGGCTGCAGCACGCGGAAAGTTGCCTCAGCACATCGGATTTCTGTAGTCGTTGTTGGAGAGCTCGCACCTGTAGCTCCTCGGTGATACCGTACACTTGCTCGAATAGTAGCGCTAGAGACGTCATCGTTCTCATCGTCTGGTTCGGAGCTGCGATCTATTCGATTCATTGGAGGCACTGCGAGATATACGATATATGACAGAGAACCTCCACGGGGTAGCGTCGGTAGAGCTACACTCAGCATGCTGCTTGGTTCTTCGTCAGTGATGCTAATATTTGAGTCACCTAGTTTTGCCCCAATCAACTGGATGCCACACTCTTCTTCACCGCTTTCGTTCTCCTCTTCTAGCTCCTCGTCATTATCGTGGATCATATACCCAGTCTGGTTACTCTTACTGGTATGTTTAAATACACGCACTTGTAGCGTTCCGTTCGCCACCATATCATCATTCGCCTGGATAGAGACAAGAACCGTTTCCACTTGAGCCAGTGGTCTTGGCACCAGCAATGGCGCACCATCAATAGCAACTTGAACTGTGCTTTCCTTCGCAGAAATGTCGAAACTAGCGAGAGCAAGCGCACTGGGAGGAAGCAAGCGAAAGGTGCTCCCCGCAAGGACGCATTCAATCCCCGTACAAGTGTAATGCCCCATCGGGATACCTGAGTGAAGAAACACCAAATTCACGCCTGTTTTCTCATCGAGATGGACGTCATTCTCTTCTAGCAGCAATCCCGTGTCGTATTCGATCTCGTTGTGGACATTCTCAACAACTTTGTGAAGTATCGTCGCTATCTCCGCCTCAACAGAACGGCCTTCGGATAGCTGATCGTGCTCCGTATCTGATGATAAATCTGCAGACACAATACGCGACTCTGGGGTTGTTTCCTGTTCATTAACGCGTCGTGACATCGAAGCCAGAGGTTCATCATTCTGGGGGTTTTCGTGTCCGATTGGTGCCCTCGTAAATCGAATACGAACTTTTTCCAGATGTACTCCCGCGGGGAAATCATTGGCAATACCAAGTGTAACACGGATATCTCCATGTTCTAATGCACTTCCACTTGATCGCGTTGTCTCCACAGCTACTGTCGGTCTGAATAGTTCGCCCATGTTGACTCTAGGCTCGCTGCCGGATATCTTGTTGTCTTCTGTTGAGTCAACTGTATTCCCTCCTGCGCTCTTATTATCAAGACTCGCCACAAGAGCAACCAAAAGTTGTTCCATCTCTTCTTTACTCACACCAACCTGTTCCTCCTGCGCCAGCTGCAACATGCTGAAGCATGCAGCCACTGCCTGTGTCGATCGTCCCAACGCCAGCTCTGCTTGACAGATACTACGCACACAAGCACCAAAGATCGTCCACCACCCGTCTTCTTCACTTTGTCGAGCCAGCGACCGTAAGAGTCTCGATGCGCTCTCGAATTCCCCACGCGCTAGATGGTAACGCGCGCACTCCCCTCCAAGAAATACAGCAAACCGATGTCGTCCAGACTGCGAGAAATACATGGAGGCTAAGTGTGACACCTCTGACAGACAACGCTCGTACGGTTCGCAGGCATCAGTTCGTCGCGATTTCGGAGCCACAAACACCTGCTCCAGTTGCTGATACCATTTCAGCGAAGACTCTGCCTCAGTATCTTCATGTGGAATGCTCGAGAAGGACACACGAAGGTCATTCCGGGATCGGTTAGACCTTGCGAAGTTCTTCAGCAATCGACGTGCGAGGTACAATACGTTCCCAAGTGCACGGGACATTTCTTCAACCGGAATTGTTTGTGCCGCTTGCACGGAGACGCTAGAGGCAGTCCATTCCTCGTCACGGCCGCTCCACGAGAGTTCACACGCATAGGAAACCTCCATGCAGGCGCCTACTGCCCAAAGAAATGGCTGATGCCAGTCAAGCGTGTTTCCCGACGCCATTTCCTTCAACTCTGCAAGAAAAGCCTCGATAAATGAGCTGACACGCGTCAGTAGCTGTGGGAAGCTCCCCATAACGTAAAGCGTGCGGATCTGTCGACAGAAACAGTAGAGAGAGACAAGGTGAGCTGAAGCGCGATTCGAAGCAATCAGTTGCTGGGTCTCAGTTAGGTCCAACGCCAACTACAATAGCACCACCCATAGTTTTTAGTGGTCATAACCTTGATATCAATAGGAATCGCATTACACTCACTGGAGACTGCGTGAAAATCGGATCTTGTGATGTAAACGAGGTCTTGCTGCCATCTTGGAACGCCTGCTTCTCTGTCTCGTTTAAGTTGACGAAAATTGCGTCCAGCTCGTCCAACTGGCCAACAAATAGCAACAATTTTTACGTCAATACCAACCACTTTCCTCCTTCTTCGTCATCTCCTTACATGTCTAATTGCATCGTCCTGTAGATACATTTGCTGGTACATGAGCGCCAGTCTCTCTTTAGCCAGAAAGAAGGCTCCAAAGTCCCACCCAGTTGCTCCACGTTTAGCATCCAGCACTCTGAGACTCTCCTCGTACTGGAAACATTTGGTCTGGAATGCGTCCATGACACAATGCCGCAGTCTCAGTAGCAATTCTGTCCATTGAGACTCGTGCTGTTGTTGCTGTCCTAATACACTTGTCACCTCCAACGTGTCGATCTTGCACACTCTCTCCTGCAAAGCCAAATGGGTCGAGGCCGGTCCTATAGCCCCACCCAACAGTGGCCCGCCCTTCCTATGGGTGAAATCAGTTCGTAACCTGTCAAAGATCTTCCTGTAAACGGGGTTGGGTACGTTTCCAGCGGCTTTGGGACGTGTTCCCAGCGGTACGTAGAGCACGAGCCATTCCACCTTGGCAGCCGTCATGGCGTCCACCCACGCGACCAATGGAGGCCGCACCACGCTCCTGTAGCTGTCCAGATCCTCGCATTTGACCAGGTAAATGCAGGCATGCGGTAGGTCTTTCTTCACATTTTTAATCGAGATTTCGTCAAAGTGCAGCGGCAATTGTTCGATGCGTTTGGTCACTCCTACGAGGTTGCGCCACTCGATGGCGCGAAGTGGAAGGCGCTGCGCTAGAGAAGGCGCCAGGAACTGCCACACACCACCCTCGTCCGTGTAACCCACGCGCAATCCCGGCGAGAGCAGCTCCCGCGTGAACTGCGGCTCCACCGTTGCGTACACCGACGCCATCACGAATAGAGCAACATAAATTATGTCAACTTGTTTTATCTTTTTGCGAAGGTGTTTTTACGTTTTATTGCTCATGATATTTTGGCCCAGAGGTTTATTATCTCTTATAAACTCGTTTAAATTAGCCCGGTTTCACTTACGACTGAACTCTGATTTATAAAACACCCTTTTCTAGCTTGATGATCTGAATTATAAACTCGTATCTCCTACATAAATGCTGGTCGCAAGTTCGAAACGCAGAATTGCCCTACCAGAACGGCAAAAACGACGTCGTTGTTGCTAAATCAGACTGCTACATCAAAGTCAAATCCAAATAGAGCTTGCTTGTCAAATGAAAACTCGAATTTAGTGGTAGGTCAAGTCTATTCTTGAGGTCTAAAATAGAGGGCAAAGTATCTGCAACAAGCAATAACTTGTTCTTTGTTTTAAAAAAGTACTCAGAGTAAGAGAACTAGGCTGGGTTTCTGGAGGTCTGCATCATGTGTCGGATTGTTGCATTTTGCCAATTCCTATTGGTAAAAACAGAAACAAGCCACATCACGAGTTTAAGTACGAATCGATCACTCTTAAGTACGAAAAAGAGGTTTAACTCCTCGACTGCATAATGCATCTTAGATTTGAAGGCTTAAGATGCATATATGCAGTTCAAGAGAATTTTGACCTGAAGTTTGTATGGGTCACCTTTCCCCCAGCACAGTGGTATACAAACGCCAAGATAAACGTTTGAATCGTTTATGTTACCGCCCATTTATTTTCAAGCTCATCATATTTCAGAAATCCTAAAAATGCGATTTACAGGGACTCGGAAACTTCAACGGATCTGGATTATTTTTCAGAGGTTACTGGGTGGCCCCGTCAATTCCCGCCAAAACGACTGGCTCCCAGCCAACTGGTCTTGCCCCGACTTTTCCGAATTTCCCTCATTCGAGAATCTGAGCTGCTAGAACGCCAGTGGGATGGTGCGTGCGCGAGGAACGATTCCACGGGACAGCGAGGTTACTGGGTGGGACCTTTCGTTCCGTTCGGTTTGGCGCGAGAGCTGATGGGTGAAGGATGGATGCGCAAGGCTCCGCCAGGACGAAGCTTGGACAGTCGATTCAAGTATATCAAGCCGCACGGCCACCCAGATGGAACTATCGGCATCGACTTCTTGCTTGGCGAGGAGGCACTACTGGAATACTACGCCAACGGTTCTTATGCGCTATGATGCGTGTCATCGAACCCGACATCCAAGAGCATCTAGAAAATCCATACGAGGTTGTAAACAATTCGAGCAGCTATTCGGGCCTTCGTCAAGGATACTCTGGACCTACAGCTGAAGTACTACGTCGTGGAGACTCACCTGTGGCGCTATTTTTCTACTTCATGCCAGTAGCGTTGTGGCAACACATAGCGGCATGTTCAAATGAGTATCATCGGGAAAAGCTTCCTCAGCGTATCGGTGAGGCGTACCAGCGGTACAGCAGAAAGCGACGATTCAATGCGGAGCTCCCGAGGAAGACCCGTCGTGATATCCAGGAAGCGATGAAGCCAATTCAACCTCATGAACTTTGCAAATTCGTTGGTTTGCTGGCGGCGAGAACTATTGCTCCCAATCCTGAGAAACTCTCTAACCACTGGAAAACAATCGATGAAGGAGCAATTGCTCGTGGTTGCTATGGTTCAGTGCTTAGCCGCGATAGATTCATGGAGATATCGCGGAATTTGCATTTCAACTCGAACAGCGACCCTCGTGCCCAAACGGATCGCGCATGGAAAATTCAAAAGGTAGTAGAAGTGCTACAGCGCACATTCGCACGCGGTTACGTTGCACCAGCGCACTTAGCCTTTGATGAAGCTGTGTTGCCGGGTCGATCAAGTTTCAACAAGATGCGGGTCTACATGAAAGATAAACCGCAGAAGTGGGGCACGAAGCTCTTCATGTTGTGCAGTTCTGTAACCGCTTACTGTATTCGGTAAGCCCTTTGTTTTTTTTTTGTTTTTGCTAGATTCGAACAGTTATGCTATACCATGCAGCTTAAGCTAACTGAAACGGTTTGGTAATCCTGCCTATAGACAGATTCGAGGTTTACTGTGGCAAGAAACAGTATGGAAGTGATGCACACAAGCTCGACATGAAATCAGGACCAGCTGCAGTTGTCCGAAATCTTCATAAAGGGTTCGGTCGGGACTCGAGAAGGCGAGGCATGCGGCTAGTGGTGGTCGATCATCCGTTGCACTGGCAATTCAGTTACTGCTGATGGGTTTTTATTGCGTTGGAACTATCATGACAAAACGTCTTGGTTATTGCAAACAAGTCGTGGAAAAGAAGAAAAACCGTCTTGCTTCAATACCACGCGGCTCTTTCAATGTGGCAGTATCCAAACTTATCCCCAACATGGCCGCCATTCGTTGATGGGATTCGCGCCCTGTACATTTCCTGTGTACTGGAGGCAGTCTCGAGATCGACGGAGTAGTGCGGCATGATGGCCCTAACCAAGTGGAAGTGCCATACCCCCGTGTGGTGAAGGTCTACCACGCTTTCGTGGGGGGCGTCGATGTACACGACCAGCTACGTCTTCAGCGGTACTCCCTCCAGCGCGCTCTCCGTTTTCGAAAATACTACAAGTCACTAGTATTGGGTTTGATTGACTTAGCGATCGTGAATGCGTACATCGTCCATGCGTATCACAAGAACAAAGAATCACGACCGCTTACCCACGTGAAGTTCATGAAGTGTTTGCACGTCCAGTTGTGCCAGTTGAAAGCGGCAGATATGTACGAAGGAAACACGTTTGAAACGCAGCGTGCAACTTCTCTACCAGTGTACGAGCCGATTGCATCTGGGAGATCTCATTCATCCATGCACAGCGCACGCCAAAGTAACGAGTGGCGAAACGAAGGGTCGCAGGCAAAACGACGGCAACGAACGTGCCAGGTTTGCTCCACCCTTCGCACAGGACACAGCGTTCTGCCACTACGACGTTCTTATGTAATGACTGCAACAGTGCGGGTCCGATATTTCTCTCTCAGCGAGCGAGACGTGAAGTGAGGGGAGTTGGGATGACTTGCTGGGATATTTGGCATAAAGAGTGGCTGAAAGGAAAGCTGGTCCCAGTTGAGCAGAGTAGAACGATCCGAGTGCGTGTCAAAGCGGTGCAAGATACCCCATCAACTCCAGGGACTCCAGCAACACCAACTCTGCGCAAGAGGCACCGAACAAGCCCTTAGGTACTAAGCTGCATATTAAGCTGAATGCTATGCTGAATAAATACAAGTTAAGGTTATGAAGATTGGTTCTTTCGACACAACGTAGTGACGATGCACGTTGAAGAATGACATACTTTGCATGTCTTCACACTGCTCATCCTGATCTGCATCACGTACTTCATCTTTGTTCATGAAATTCTTGCTTTCAGCTGATTGCAGGTACAGCTGTGATCGCGGCTTTCTACTTGACTTAGATTCCGTATTGGTCATACAATCTACTGAAACGTGTCAAATGATTGCGCTACTTTGTAGAGGTGACCCCCAACTTTGTATCTTCATCTTCGTATGGGAAGTTTCAATTTCCAAAAATCTGAAAATGAGGGATGCTGTTCGGGCTGGTTCTGTTCACAAGATTTAGGCGATTGTCCTGTCACTATCTGCAGTAAGCTGCATGATGCAGAATAATGTTGTCCATCGGAGCGATTGGATGCAGTTTAAGACAGATTTAGCATGACTCTCACACAGGGGTGTGGGTGCCTGTTCGGACACCCATCCCTTTATTTACAAACATTCATATTAATTAAGCTGCATATGCAGGTTAACGTTGACTTTTTTCTCCGGTTTGGAGGGGTTAAAGCTGAGAAAACTCAATCCTTAATTTTTTTCGAAATGACATTTATTTCAGAGTTAAACATCTTGAAGGGGGGATGTCTCATTTTTCGTGAATGAATGACCCGCACGTATATGTGTGGGAATTTTCAAAAATTATGGCAGAGCCCTTACTTGCAGTAGTTACCACGACTATTATTACATAACATTTGTTAATAACTCAACAAATGTTACCTGTGTCGTCGCCCTTGCGACGCGAGGTTTAGTGTCAACTGTTGCACGACGAAACTCATACCCATCTAGGTTATCCTGTGATAGCAGTACGAAGTGCTGCAGAGCAGCTTGCAGGCGATTAATTCGTTATTCTTCTATTTTTGTCTTGAAATTTGTATTCAAATACGTCCGTCACGCTTTCACGTCCTTCACGTCTATCCTACCCCTCCATTGTTGTACCAGGGCTGTACCACCACCATTCTTCCATCTAATTGTTTTCACAAATCATCAGTCTGGCAGATCTTCTTTACAGCTTTGGAGTATTAGATGGTGAGTGATTGTCCTCACCAATAAGTGGAGGGATGCATGTACTTCATTCCGCAATTCGCCATGCGGGGACGAAAGCGACTCCCGCCTGACAAGCCGGTCTACGAGGACGAGATCGTCGCAGAGACACCGCCGTCGCCCACGTATTCGCCGCCTCCAAAGAGAGTTAAGCGCCAAGACGTGGCAGACCGCATCGATAAGAACAAGACAGCCGACTTCTTCGTCATGAAAAAGACGCTCAAGTCCTTTTGTAAACCCGAAGCAGAGCGACTCGCGTGGGACAAATGCATCCAAGATGTCAACTACGCCATCGCCGAGGCATACCTGCTGGCTAACAACTACGCACTAAGTCAGCTCAAGGCTGGGCGACCTCTGTGTAAGATCAATACCCCGTTCTACCAGCTGTATCTGAGTCTAGTTACAAGCGTTCCACGTCGAGCGAAGTACGAGAAGTTCTTGGCGACGCAAGCGACCAAGGATAGGCGATCGACAGCGGCAAGGTCGGTAAGCTAAAAGACTTCCCCGCGACTGTGCCGGAGTTTTCCGAAACGGATACCAGGAATGATTGAAGACACAGAAGGTCAAGAATGCGGATCTGGAGAACGCAAACGATGAGTTTGGGAAGATGCGAGGAGATCTGGATCAGGCGAAGACGGAGCACTTGAACCAGGGTTGGTTTCAAGCGGCAGCAAAGCAAATGGCTACGAATGTTAAGAACAGTGTCGTGCGGAACTTTGCCGAACGACTGCGAACGTACGTCATCGAGCATTATGAACTGAAGCGTGCTGCCGCACATGGGGCTCTCAACAAGACGTTTGCTACCGAGGAGTTCGATCCTACGTACGTTCGCGTGGTAGACCCCGTCATTACAGAGCTGCGCAAGAAGATCCCGCGGACGAAAGACGGTAAAATCAGCTGGGTACCTCACGACTTGCTGCCGATGTTCTACGAGTTCCTGCAGCTCGTCGAGGAGTCCAACGAGGAAAATATGGACAATGCGGACTTCGTGGAGAAGCGGACGTTCTCTCTGCTTCCGACCAAGCGCGGGTTCGAGGCCAGCTACTGCAAGGTTGACTCAACTGGACTGAAGTCGCTGCTCAAGCGCAGTCCGGGCGTTAGCCGTGGTCTCTGGGTTGTTCATGACGGACAGATGTGGACATTGGAAGACAGCTTAAAAAAATAGCGCACCTTGGATCGCGATAGCCGATCAGTGGTGGCGTCGACTCTTCCGTGTGGACGAGATGGAAAAGCCTGGAGCCCGTAGCTTCCACCGCGAGATCACGACTGATGGATACGGCGTAAGCGTGCACATGAATCGTCCGACGCGCGGGAAGCGGAAAAAGAAAAAAAAGCAAAGACGGGAAGACTGAGAAGACGAAGGACAAGAGTGTATCTGAAGTAGTGGGGTTGCCGCTCGCGAAGACCCCGAAGGGAAGAAATGAGGAGTATGATGTAGTGTGGGGGATCGATCCTGGGCGAACGGATTTCATCACGGCCGTCAACCAAGATGGTAAGGCGGTTCGCTTTCGGACGTCCGACTTCTATCGAGCAAGCGGATAGTCTCGTTCAAACCGCAAGTCCAAGCACCGCATCGACAAGTCGCCTCGCGTCCGCGAACTGCTCCAGAACACTCCAACGAAAAAGACTTCATCGGTCGAAAAGTTTTGCAACTCCATCAAGTTTGGTTTCAGCACGATCACGAGCTGCTTTCTTTATTCATGGACCCGTTCATTCGTAAGCTGAAGTTCCGCAGATACACTCTCCGCACTGCGCAACTAGACCGCGCTTGCTTCGCGCTAGCGGGCGCCCGAAGAACCAATGGGGTCGTAGGCTTCGGGCACTGCGGGATGGCTGGCGAGGGCTTGATCAAACGAAGCGTTGCCGGTCCAGTGAAAGCATTTGCGTGCAAGCTCGCGAGGTCGTGGTGCTGGACGAATTCCGGACAAGCAAAAAGCACTTCGACTGTCAAACAACGGACGACCTTAAGAATCAACGCGTCATGCGCAAGTGTCGAGACGGCGTTGTCCGCAAGGTTCCCGTGCACAAAGTGCTGCACTGCTTGCGGAAGCACGGCGGATGTGGTAAGTCAGTCGACCGAGACGTGAATGCGGCCAAGAACATCCTCAGTATACTGCAGAACCAGCTTACAGGCATCTCCGAATGGCCTCTCCGCCTCCGGCGTTAGTCAAGACAAAACCAATCTTCAGCCCATCCATTTGCTGGGTGGTCTCACTTGTGTGAAAGCGACTCCTCCGCAAGGAGGAGCGACGTTGACCGCCGGTTACTCTCAGACCAAAAAAAGAGGAAATCAGCATTACGAGGGCTAGAGTGCTCCATCGATGGTTTCGGTCCCCAAACGACCAAGGTCTCGAGGAGGTTCTAGTTCGTCGGGTTGCAGTAGAGTAAGTCAGATTTGAGGAGAGCTTTCAAGGTTCTTGCCAATAACGTTTCCGTGACCCAAAGCTATCCCAGCCTCCACCTCAGCCCTAGTAACAACTAGAACATTAACCCCAACAGAGTATTACCCCCAACAAAATTTGTCCTTGAAAAGAGAACGAAATGAGACAGCGTCAAAATCAGCGCGGTTTTATTCTTAAGGTCCCAATTATAACGACAGAAATCGAGATCGACAAGCACACGCCACTTTGTATGGGATTAAATTTTCACTTGATTATTATTAAATATCAAGGATCTTTTGTCCTAAAGTTAAGGATAAATCGTCTTCTGCGTAGGTATTCCAGACACCTTCGCGGCTTAACAGCTCCCGGAACCACGCGTAGGTTTATCAGTGAGTTGCTAACACGGTTGTCGAGAGCTAATACAAGGTTACATTTCAGTATATATCCACATGAGCATCTACCAAAACTGAGGCCAAGCAAGATCCTCAAGTTTTTGTTCTCTCTTTTGGCGCATCATCAGTCAATCTTAGCAAGTACTGATTAATAAGGGTGGTAAGAGGTGTGTGTGTGCGGGTAAATGAGGGCTTATTATCCGAGGAAGACGACCGCCAATCTTCTTTTTTTATTTGGGAATCCCTGTGTAGTACATGCATATGGAACCAAAGACTAGAAACTTAGGTACATTTCAGAGCTTCTTCGAGCGAAGCACGGCTTTGTATTCTAGGATAAATAGACAAGTAGGCAAGTAACACTACGATTGTTACAGTACTTTTTGGCGTTTTCGTCTTATCAGATTGTGTCAGTGCTAGTTCGCTACCGGTGAGAAACAAAGCGTTCAGCTTTGTTTCAAATCCATCCCAGTTTTTTCTACAACAATCACCAAATAGTCCTACAAAGACTTTTTTTTCTACAACGATCATCTATTGTTTCATATTTACAGTAGATTCTCTACTATTTTCTCAGTCCTCGTCTCACTTGGATAGACCGTTGGTTGGTTTGAGTGATCCTCTCATTTCCAAATTCTCTGCATCCTGAAGAAAGCGCGACGATGGGCATTAATGTCAGTAAAAGCACCATTTCTCATCCTCAAGTTCGTAGCAACTGGGTTGCAACGGACATGTCGCAGAAGGGCGAGATCGTGATCGTCACCGGTGCCAACTCAGGGATTGGTTACGAGATGGCACTTGAACTCGCGCGCAAGGGAGCTCACGTGATCTTGGCCTGTCGCAATGAAGAGCGCGGCCTCAATGCCCAGGCTGACATTCAAGAAGTGCTAGCAACGACACCTGATCCTGGTAGCGTGAAATGTATGCAAGTCGATATGGGCGATTTAACCAGCGTTCGTAACTTCTGTGAGGAGTTTAACAAGATACACGATCGACTGGATCTGCTATCAACAACGCTGGGATCGGTGGTAGCACCTACACCAAGACAGTCGACGGCTACGAGCTTATCTTCGCTACTAATTACTTAGGTCACTTCGCGCTGACGGCGCAGCTTTTCGAGACGCTAAAGAACTCTGCGCCATCGCGTATTGTTTCTGTGAGTAGCTTCTTGCATTGGTATGGGACGTGGGTCTGCGATGAGAACAATATCATGGCCAACAGCTCAAAGGAGCATGGGCAGATCGGAACCTACTCGATTTCGAAGCTGTGTCTTCTACTCTTCATGACTGAGCTTGATCGTCGCCTGAAAACTACAGGGATCGAGAATGTCACGGCCGCTGCGGCTTACCCTGGATACTGTGACCGATTTCTTCATGATCGTGGTGTCACACTGTGACACCACGATCATGAAGAAATCGGCTCAAAAGAATAGCAGTTGGTTGTGGTGGTTAAATTTCCACATCTCTGGTATGTTCCCGCCGCAAAGCGCTCCTAAAGGGGGCATTGCCTGCGTTGTATGCTTCCACGGCCGATGGGGTGAAGGGAGGTGACTACTATGGGCCGAAGTATCTGGAGGTCTATGGCCACCCTGTTCGTGAGGAACCTGCTAAACTAATGAAGTCCGAGACGGCTGCTGCCAAGCTGTGGGCGTACAGCGAGAAGCTGACACACCTCAAGTTCGATGTTACCAAGTAAATACGTCAACAATCCGGATACCCAGAAGACAATGGCCCCAAGAATTCAGGAAAAGTGATTGCAGGTTTTCAGAGCTTGAGTTTTATGCTCGAGCTAAAAGATTGACTAAACACAATGGTGATGCTTGAAGCAAATCTTCATTCCGTATATGTTACATGTTAGCTAATCTGCTGTTGTAGCCAGGAGTCGCGCGCTTCCAGCACAACAAACTCAGGAGTATGTTCTTCTGAATGTCGATTGGATCGTTCATTACAAAACACACTTGGCTGTATAATGTCTTTCAAATGCGCCGCCAAATACTGAAAATCTAGTGTATATGGTATCAGCCATAGTAACGGACTCGGTCGACCTAGAATGTATTATTTCAAGACAGAATATCATATTCTTAAGGCCCATTTACTGTATCAAGCAGTGACTCACTTGAATTAATCGATAAACGATGGATACTATTTGAGGGTCATACCACCGTGATAAAAATGCTGGGCGGAGGGGTTAAATGTGCAAATCGTTGATCACGAGTCGCGATTCACTTTCACGCGATCATTACCGTGTTTCCAATGAACTATCCCACAGCTGCTACTGCTACGATTCCTGATACCTTCACAGCCTTCCTCATTCTTCAAAACACCTTAAGAAGCTCATTTACCACTCACCGTCAAACAACATCCTTAACATGACCGACTCAAGCACCCGTTTGCCTGTTCCTGAGTACTGGGATGCCTCCAAAATTCCCTCCCAAAAGGGGAGGATTGCCATCGTGACTGGGGCCAACTCTGGCATCGGATACGAAACCGCTTTGGAGATCGCGCGCAAGGGAGCGCATGTGATTCTGGCTTGTCGAAACGAGCAACGCGGCCGTGAAGCCGAATCCAAAATGCGCGAGACGCTCGCTACCATTTCGGAAGCTGGCACTGTGGAGTTCATGGAGTTGGACGTGGGAACCTTGAGCAACGTGGAGAAGTTTTCGGCGGAGTTCAAGGGAAAATTCAAACGCCTAGACTTGCTCATTAACAACGCAGGCGTCGCTGGAGGTGACTACACCCTCTCCGCAGACGGATATGAATTGCAGTTTGCCACCAACCACCTGGGTCACTTCGCGTTAACGGCTCGGTTGTTCGGCCTGCTCAAGAGCAGTGCACCATCACGCATCGTAAACGTGAGCAGTCAGGCTCATCGTCAACCAAAGGTCTTTGATGAAAACGAGATTATGCTGACGAGTGCGGAAAAGTACTCGCCGATGCAGAACTACGGCGTTACCAAACTCTACAACATCATGTTTGCGAAGGAGCTCAACCGTCGTATGAAGGCCAACGGGGTGGAAGGTGTCACTGCGGCTGCTTGTCACCCGGGACTGACGGCAAGTGGCCTTACGTCGAATTCTGCATCTGCGAGCAGCAACTGGCTGTGGTGGCTGGTATTCAAAGTGGTGACGTATTTCCCAAGCCAGAGTTCTGAAATGGGAGCCCTACCAACTTTGTATGCTGCCGTTGGAAATGATGTAGAGGGCGGAGACTACTTTGGTCCTAAACATCTGGGCCTCTACGGATACCCGACTCGCGAGGTCCCATCGGAGTTGAGCAATGCGAAGGATGCGGCGACGAAGCTGTGGACCTTTAGTGAAAAGCTGGCAAAACTATCTTTCGAAGTTCGCTGATTAGGCAAACATCATGCTAAAAATAACTGTTTCCAGTGTGAGTCGCAGACGATATACAAGATCATGTCGTGTTTTTACTCAGCACTACCAGCCCAAATCCTCTCTACTTTTTTTTTTTTTTTTTTTTTGGGGGGGGGGGGTCTAAAATTTTTTAAGACTGCGTCAACTTTGTCAAACAAAAAAAAAAACGTGATTACCTCGTATGCTCCAAATAGTTCCTAAGGTCATATTTTGTACCTGCTTCCGCTGACAGCACTCCCAATGGAGCCCCTACCCAAAAAAATCTCTAGTCTACATGTTATTAGTTCACGCTCAAAGAGAACTTGCCGCGTCAAGACAAAAAAAAACTACATTAAGTCCTCAAAGTATTGGTAATCAATCGCACACCGTTCTGAATAATAAGACATTCGCTGCTGTTATATTGCGTCGGGAGCGTTTGAAGAACTTCTTTTCTTCTTCTCTCAGCAAAAAAAAAAAAAATGATGCCCGCTGCCACTTCAACCAATTGCGGTTGATATAGCTACTTGTGTAAAACGCTACCCCCATCCCCTCAAAACAGATAACTTCAAGAAAATCACGGTCACCCTAATTCCTCTTGTAGTATCGATTGTTGCGGGCAAACATGCATTTCGAACAAGTTTTAACAGCACTGGTTTAGTGGAATGAACCAGAAATGCATATTGGCATACACGCGCAGCTTCAGTGGTTAGTGATTATAAACGTCGTAGATAAGGGGACAGAGCGTTATTAAAGAAAGAAGCAAAAGCAGATGCATGTACTAATCCTCTCTCGCGTCAGTTTTGAGTCATTTCGTATAGCAGTGCTCCGAAATCTGACACTATATTACGTGTACTCTTCAAGTGTACGGATATAAACCTCTTACTTCTCAACGACAAAAGTCAAGCTTGCCAGCTTCTCACTGAACGCCCACAACTTCTTCCCAGCAGGTTCCGACTTGCAGAGTTTCGCCGGTTCATGGCGAGCTGGTGATCCCGTGGTTCTGTCTTTCGGTCCAATGTAGTCCCCACCCACGACCTCGTTTCCGGTAGCAGCGTACAGCGTCGGCATGGCCCCCATTTCCGGACTCTTGCCCCCAGGTAACAGCGTCATGAATTTAATCAGCAACCAGTAGAGCCAATTATTGTTGGCCGCCGCCATGTTTGCCCCCAAGTTCGTCGCCACGTACCCAGGGTGACACGACACTGCCGTGACGGTCTCAATCCCCGCAGCTTTAATACGTCGGTCCAGCTCGACCGTAAATAAAATATTGCACAGCTTGGTCTCCCCGTACGTTTGAACCTGGCCGAATTTGCTCTCACTGGTGACCATGATTTCATCCTCATTGAAACTCGCCTCCCCTCTCTTATGGAGTCCGCTACTGACGTTGACGACCCGACCAGCACGACTTTGCTTTAGGAGTTCGAACAACTGAGCCGTTAGTGCGAAGTGACCCAAGTGGTTGGTTGCGAATAGACGCTCGTATCCATCCACTGACAGCGCGTAGCTCCCACCCATGACCCCAGCGTTATTGATGAGCAGGTCTATCCGATCATGACCCCGTTTGAACGACTCTGCGAACTCACGGACACTTTTGAGGTCGCCCACGTCTAGTTGCAGGAATTGAAAGGATCCACGCTCTGGTTCGGTACCGAGAAGTTCGTCTAGTGTGGCAGCAGCAGCGAGACCTTTGGTTTCGTCTCGACAGGCCAGTACTACGTGGGCCCCTTTGCGTGCCAGTTGTAACGCCGTCTCGTACCCGATCCCGGAGTTGGATCCCGTGACTACCGCCACTTTGCCCTTGAGCGAGGGGATCTGGCAGACGTCCCAATTGTCGGGAATGGTAGGAAGAACGTCGGAAGCTGCGGACATGGAGCTTGAAAGGTTTTAGCAATGGATCGGGAATTGTGTCCGGGATAAACACAAATTTGTAGCGATCATTACGCGACACAGACATTGAAGTTGGTATTATTTAGCTCTCGTCACAGTGATGTGACCAGAGCTGTATCAAGCCTTAACACGAGTAGATGCGCGTTCTTCACTGTGCGTGCGCGGCACGATCTCTACCATGGCATATCTATCCAACGGCCAAGTTTCCCTTTATTTGACAGAAAACAAACTTATCACTTCGCACAAAAGAGGTTCATGTTGGTACAGTACTTGCAATACGGCAAAATGTTTCAGTATGTTTTTGACAATGAAATAACTCGCGAATCTTCGCCATCGGCCCCGACATCGCCTTACTTGACCACCTCAAACTTGAGGTGTGTGAGCTTCTCGCTAAACTCCCAGAGTTTGACAGCTGCAGTCTCGGACTTGCTGAGGGTCGACGGCTCCTCACGAATCGGCGAACCATAGCACTCCAAATACTTTGGTCCGTAGTAGTCACCACCCTTAACACCTTCAGCCGCAGCAGCGTACAGAATCGACAGCGCTCCCTTCTCCGCACTTTGGGGTGGCGCCACCGCCACCGTGCGGAAAACCAACCACCAGAACCAACTGTCCCGGTTGGTATCAGCACCTTTCTTCATGATCTTGGTATCGCAGTATCCAGGGTGCGCCGCTGCAGTTGTAATGTTGATAATCTCCGCAGCTTTCAGTCGACGGTCGAGCTCCAGCGTGAAGAGAAGGTTGCAGAGCTTCGAGACGGAGTAAGTCGTGATCTGTCCGTACTCTTTCTCGTTGTTGGCCATGATCTTGTCCTCGTCGAAGATAAAGTACGCATGACGATGCAGGAGACTGCTAACGGTGACGATGCGAGACGAATCGCTCTTCTTGAGTTGATCAAAGAGCTGCGCTGTCAGCGCGAAGTGGCCCAGATAGTTAGTGGCAAACTGCAGTTCATAGCCGTCGACTGTTTTGGTGTACGTGCCCCCAACGATCCCGGCGTTGTTAACGAGCAGATCCAATCGCGGATGCATCTTCTTGAACGTCTCGCAGAATTTGTGAACGCTGCTCAAGTCTCCAATGTCCACCAACACGAGCTTGACAGTGCCGTGACCAGGTACAGATTTGATGAGCTCTCGAATGTCCGCTTCCGCCTTGAGACCACGCTCTCTGTTGCGACAGGCTAGCACCACGTGCGCTCCCTTGCGAGCCAACTCCAGCGCAGTGATGAAGCCGATCCCCGAATTGCCACCCGTGACGATCACAATCCTGTCCTTTTGCGACGGAATGTCGGTCGCGTTCCAGTTTTTAGGAACTTGAGGCTGAGGCGCCGTGCTCTTGCTGGAGTTGCCTCTCATTGCTACTGATGCTCTGCGCAGCAAGATAAGAAATGAAGAACATGAAGTGGAGAACTCTGCATGGGACGGGAGCTTTGAGAAAGGAGCTCTTTCTTAAAATCAACGCGTTGAATCACACCATAGCGACATCAACTGAATTGAAGAAATTTAAGTTGCCTGATCCCGTGAGCAAACTCACTACTTCTTGATGTCGAAGGACAGATGAGCGAGTCTCTCGCTCAGTGTCCACAACTTTTTCGCACCCGATTCTGACTTGCTCTGTTCGGACGGGTCCTCCCGCACAGGGTATCCAAACGTCTTGAGATGTTTGGGTCCGAAGAAGTCGCCGCCCTCAACTTCACTTCCAGTAGCAGCATACAGCGTCGGTAGCGCTCCCATCGGACAGCTCTGGCGTGGAGCCAAGTCCGTCATCTTGTACACCAGCCACCACAGCCAACTCTTGCTGTTCACCGTAGACGCCGTCGCCAGGTTCGTCGCCGTGACACCGGGATGACACGCGGCCGCAGTGACGCCCTCAATGTCCGCAGACTTGATACGACGAGCCAGTTCGTTAGTGAACAGGATGTTGCTGAGCTTGGTGACACCGTAGTTGTCCATCTCCCGGTATTTGTCCTCACTGGTCGTTATGATCTCGTCCTCATTCCACGTCGGAGCCGACCGGTGCACGATGCTACTGACGTTCACGATACGCGACGGTGTGCTGTCCTTCAGCAGTGGGAACAGCTGAGCAGTCAGCGCGAAGTGGCCCAAGTGGTTAGTAGCGAACTGCCGCTCGTATCCATCGGCCGAGAGCCCCCACGCTCCGCCCATGATACCGGCATTGTTGATGAGCAGATCCAGACGAGCGTGGCTCTTCTTGAAGTCCTCCGAGAACTGTTTGACGCTGCTGAGGTCGCCCAAGTCCAACTTAACGAACTCCACTTTGCCAGCTTCAGGGGTGGAGGACAAGGTCTCACGTAGTTTGGTCTCGGCTTCGCGACCACGATCTTCGCTTCGACAAGCCAGAACCACGTGAGCTCCCTTGCGAGCGAGCTCCAGAGCAGTCTCGTATCCGATTCCGGAGTTGGCGCCCGTGACGATAGCCACTCTCCCCTGTTGCGACGGGATCTGTGAGGCGTCCCAGTTGTCGGGCACTGGCGGGCGAGAGCTCAAGTCAGACATGATGATCTGTGCCTTTGACGGTGAGTGTTCGAATGGGTCCGAGCTTGTTCAACGCGATCTGTTCATAGACGCGTCTCTTTATCCTCAACGCGCGATCATGGGCAACCGCGGTATTAGCGCTGTAAATGATGCGCGCCCGCAAGTACCGGACAACTGGGACGCCTCGCAGATTCCGTCTCAAAAGGGCAAGACCGTCGTCATCACGGGAGCCAACTCGGGCATCGGATACGAGGCTGCACTCGAGCTCACGCGCAAGGGAGCGCATGTGGTGTTAGCGTGTCGTAATGAAGGGCGTGCCAAGGAAGCTGATAAGAAGCTTCGTGAAGCTCTGGCATCCACTCATGATGCTGTCAGCGTCGAGTTTATGATGCTAGATGTGAGTGACTTAGAAAGCGTCAACAAGTTTGCGGACGAATTCAAGGCAAGACACAACCGCCTCGACTTGCTGATCAACAACGCTGGAGTCATGGCCGTGCCGTACGCCAAGACGGTGGATGGCTATGAACGCCAGTTCGCCACGAATCATTTGGGCCACTTTGCACTCACAGCTCAGCTTTTCCCGCTGCTTAAGCAGAGCACACCGTCTCGCGTGGTGAATGTCAGCAGTCTTGCTCACTTGACTGCCAGCCTGGAACACTTTACGTCTGGATCCCAGATCATGCGTGCTAATGACAAAGGTTACAGTCCCTCTGAGGTGTATGGAGAGACCAAGCTGAGCAACTTGTTGTTCACATTCGAGTTGACTCGGCGCCTGAAGGCTCAGAACGTATCAGGCGTCACTTCTGTAGCATGCCATCCGGGATTTACAGCCACGAATCTGATGGCCCCTCCTGCTTCGGAAGGAGGTTGGTTTAGTCGCCTCTTTTGGCGAATCGGTGGCATTTTACCGGTTCTCCAAGACGCTCATACTGGCGCGCTTCCCACTTTGTACGCTGCTACTGGAGCTGATGTTGAGAGTGGCGACTATTACGGACCCGGTAATTACTTCGAGATCTGGGGCCCACCGAAACGTGTCCATGCCAAGAAATCTGCTCACGACAAGAATGCTGCTCAAAACTTGTGGGATGAGAGCGAACGTCTCTCTAAGTTCAAGTTCGATGTGCAGGCATAGTCGGTAATCGCGTGTAGGCCAGCAAAAAAGCTGAAATAACGTTGCTGTACTGGGGTAGCGAAACTGGATGAACTATGGAGCTTGGCATCAGATTTCGATTAACTCATACCATTCCACTGTTTCTCTTCAGCTCACTTCACTGAAGAGTTTTGGCATTTCTGAAAAGGGTCTCGGTAGTTTTAGGGGACTAACTTTTTCCTTGTTCACTTTGTAACGAAATTGTTTTCCAGCGAGAAGAACAGCACCATGAAGCTACACTTTCCAGAAAACTTAAGACACGAGAACGAAGGCTGAAAAGCACTTCTAGACTGAGCTGTACATCAACAATTTAAAATTTAATAATACAAGAGAAGTATATTGCGAACCCGAAAATTGAGATAATTTTTTGAATGACCATAACATCTCCGGTACTTGCGCCCCCTTTTTTTGACGCCCTTAATAATTCACGATTCTCTTTTTGTTTTTGACACAGTTGATCCAGTCTCTAAAATGGTAGACCCCCCCCCCCCC